TTTTTTGCCACAGGTAGACCTGTGTTATTCACTCCCATTGCCTAACACCTAGGGTGGTACCTGATATATGTCATGAGTTCAGTACATTTTTGCATTGACTGGCTGAATGAATGAATGATGGTCCCGCCCTCTGGTCCACCTTCAGGTGACCCTAAGTCAAGGACATGGATGAGAAATATGGGGTGGGTGAACATCTTCACAAACATTATTGAGGAGAGTACCAGTGTTTTGCTGCTGTTAATCTCCCCCACCGAAATTTATAGGATATGCTGGGAAATGAGTTAGACCCTCAGGTACACAGGGGAAGACACAGGCCTGGCTCCTATGTGCTTCTCTCACACTCCACTGTAGTCGATAACATGTCTTATCACTAGACTAGCAGCTCCGTGAGAACATTGTCATTGTCCATCACTGGGGAAGCACTCAGCAGGCAGCTGGTAAATAATCTAATGGAGATTGTATTGGGGGAGGGGGTGGTGTACGCATCAGTGATGTAAAGTCAGGACCCTTAGTTGTGAGAAAGAAACGACTGGCAGAAGTGGCAAAAAAAGGAGAAGATTGAAGATACGAAGGCTTTTACAACTGTTGGAAAGTGCAGAGAATCACGATTGAGGCTAAGCCTCCAGGATAAATCACAAAACCACTGCAGCCAAGCCCAACAGAGAAGCTGTGTCTGGCACTGCTCCCCACAACTGCTACAATTCTCACAACCATCGAGAAACTGCTGTTGCTGCTAGTGCTACCAACAAATCAGGCACCTGCAAGGCTCTTCCAGCAAAACTGGACGCTCCATACAAAGCCTGCTTCCTCTAGCTGCTCTCACTTGAGTTTAAGTTTCACACAGATGAGCCTTGTTAGCTGGGTCATATTCTTGAGTCCGGTTGCAATGGAGGCAAAAATCTGTAAGGAGGCCAACAGTTTGACTTCTAAAATAAGGAAAGTGATTGAAAACATGACAGGTAGTCATAAAAATGACAAATGCCCACAGCATTGTGATTGGAGCTCACCCAGAAATAGGCTCTTTGATGTCAACTTTTTGTTTTTGTGGAACTTACATCTTTGTAGGAAAAAAACAAATATTTAAGTCAGCCAAATAAGGGATAGAGATAGATGCTATAAAGACAAATAAAGCTATGAAATGGATTATCCCAGAAAGGTTCTCCTGAGAAGACTAGAGACCTAAATGAAGTGAAGACTCAGCAAACATGAAGACTCGGAGATGGGAACTTGTCTGGCACTTCACTGAGTAAATAAATGAAGGGGAGAGGGGAGAGAAATGAAGACTCATGTTGTGTAGGGCTTGCCGTCAAAGTTTTGGGTTTTGGAGATGGTAGGGAAATGGCCATGTTTTAAAAGGACTACATGGGCTGCTGTGTGAAAGAACTATTGGGAAGGAAGAAGTGTGGGGAGACTGAGCTAAGCCAGCAAGCTCTCCCCATCTAAAACTGATGAGAAAAACAATCAGCAACAATGTTACTTGATAACCTGGTTTCCTTTTAAGTTATTTTGCTTAAAGTCACAGTTTCCTGGGAACTAGGGAATAATTTGCTGTATGAGCAGGGAGTTTAGAATAAAATCTGCCTAGATGGCTGGAGAAGGGTCTCGTTAGGGGTCAGAAGTCCTCTTGAGCAAGGGGCAGAGCAGCAGCAAAGACTCAGGGATGTGGATGCCCTGGCAGTTTTGTGGCATCTGTAAGGCTAGGAGAGGGCCCCAGGAGGGAGCTGGAGAACTGGGGAGATAGGCTACTGAGGGCATCTGGACTGTTCATTTGCCCTTTTATGCCACCAGAGTAACATGTCAGCGTGGTGATGGGGCACAGCCAAGGTTGCAGCCTCCACTGGCATCTCAGGCCTTGAAGAGGGTAGGTGGACATAATGTCTTGCCCATTCCCCTCTCATCGCACTAGAGAAAACAGGAAGAACTAACAGTTGTGTGCTGTTCCTATCTAAGTAAAGCTGGCGCAACACCCATGGTGGGGCAAGCTCTGTCCTGCAGCCCAGCGTAGACTGTCAGGCAGATATATTGCCTTGCTTGCCTTCTGGATTCACTTCTGGAGGAATCTCTTATTCTACATCAGATTCCTGGGGGGAGGCACAGGCAGTCTGAAATGAAGTGTGATGGGTTAGGGAAGAGATAAAAGGAGGGCATTTCAGAAAGGGGCCAGTGCTAGGAACCAGAAAACACCCTGTGGTGGGCAGCAGGCCCAGAGTCATAAAGACAGGTGGAGCTTCACAGGTGAAATGCTAGGACAACGGGGTAGACAGTCAACAGGACAATTTCTAAGCCAGGTTTCCCAGTTAAATGCACTAACTAAAACTTTAAAAATGTGTGGTGCTTGCTTTTTGCTTGCGGTGGATCCCAGGGAGTAGCTGCAGGTTTGGTTGAATCAGCACAGGTTACATCTGCAAATTCAGGGCATGATGGGTCATGACAGACTTGCCTGAGGTCAGAAAGTACCATCTCTCATAATATATTTCAGAGAGTATAACTGAGGTGTTGTGGCTTTTTGTTGTTGTTGTTATGAAATCTCAGTCAGATGCCAAAGGTTTGCCATATTTAGAGCTGTTGCAATGGAGGAATCACTGTGATTTTATGTGCTCACTCTTTCTAGTTCAACTGAGAATTTCCCACCCATTCCAGGACGCCATCTTGGTACTTTCCCGCATGGCTACAGATCACTTGGGAGTTCAGTGGAAACAAAAGGTAGACTTTTAAAGCACTGCCAGTTAAGACCCAGGAGAAGAACTGCCTCCAAAGGCTTAAAAGGGACTTAGCCTGCACTATTTAAAACAGGTTCTTTTCATGCACACTGCGACAGCAAACACAGAGGAGAGAAGCAGTTAGGTTAGATTTGTGCACCCAGGCCTGGTGGCTCATTCTCCCTGGCCCCCACCCCGCCCAGTCCATGCCTCACTTTCCCACGGCAGGTATCTCTAAACGGAACCGATGAAGGAGGATGCACTATAATTTGGAATATCGATCATGGACGCTTTATGTTTGAAAGTAAGCAGTGAGTTTTGCTCGACCTTTTCTACCCTTTTCCTACCCCTAAGGCTGGGCAAAAGGAAACCTTAAGACTACCCAGGCCCCTTCCTAGGGAATCCCCTCTCCTGAACCTGCAACATCCCCAGAGCCCCACCAAAACTGCTCTTCAAAATGACTTCCTGGCCCACCCAGAGCGGTGGCGAGTTCAGGGTCCGGAAAGGCTGCGGTGCTCCCTCATCTCCAAAATAGCCGCTGCAGCTTCCGAAAAGAAAGGAAACTGCCCAAGCGTTCCAGGGGTTCGCCAGCGCCCTTCAGAGGAGAAGGCGGTGAAAAGAGTCGCCACGCCCAGCCCCGCCAGCCCCGCCCCGCCGCCCGGGCCGGCGAGCGACGTCCGCTGCAGGCCAAGCTCGCGGGCTGCACCTGCGGCCAGACAGCGCCCCAGAAGCCCCGCCCCGCCGCCCGGGCCCCGCCCACCTTCATCTTGCGCAGGCGCGACTTGTTGTCGTGGCACCAGGCCAGGCAGGTGGCCGTCTCGCGCCGCTCCAGGGACTCCTCCACCTCCTTGGCCGTCAGGAACATCTCGATGTTCACCAGGTCCTTGGAGGGAGGATGGGGCGCTGGAGCGCGCTGGGCCCGGGCGGTCGCCCCAGCCCCCTGGGCCCGCCCCGGCATCCCAGGGAACCCAGACTCTCCGGTCACACCCGCGCCTCCGTCTCAGTGAGCGAC